CAACACCTTGAAATTTCAAGAGAAACCTATCCTACGAACCAGTCAAAAATCTGCGTTACAATATTCACTGTTTTGACGTTATGCTAATTTTTCCAAATTAATGCGGACAATACATATATCCATGACTAGTACATTTCAGTGTGAGTATTGTCAATGTTTTACATTCAAAAGATGCGATAAATTCAAACTAAAATGTACTAGTCATGGAGGTATGTATAGTGCGCATTATTTTGGAAAAATTAGCATAACGTCAAAACAGTGAATGTTGTAACGCAGATTTTTGTCCGGTTCGTAGGATAAGTTTGTCCTGAAATTTCAAGGTGCTGCAGTGAATCAATCTTAATGAAAGTTTCAGACATTTTTATATACATTATGAAGATTATGTGAAGAGATTTTAAAAAAATTCGTTCGAGTCGTTTTGGAGATATACAAGAAAGCGCTAAAAGTCCAAATTCTGAATGAAGTTACACTTATACAGGTGGTGAGAAAACGGGTTAGATTTCAAGATCGCATGAACGAAAGTGCACCAAAATTTCCTAGCATCAAAATATGATATTAAGCATCATTCTTATGCTACTTAAGAATAATTTGAGTCATTTATAACGTTTTTATTAAATAACCTATCACGGCTATTGAAAGTTTAAGGTTTGAAATATTTTTTCGTTTTAGTCGAATTCAAACATACAGAATTTTTTACTTCTTACGGATATTGTTTGCTAAACACCAAACTTTAAGTTCCTAGTGTTGGATTTTCAGTAGCAGGTCTAGATCACACAAAATTTGGCTTTTATCAATTTCAAAGTTTTTTGTTTATTGTTGTCATAGTAATATCGATTTTATTTAAAACTACATTTTCACATATTTCAATCCATAGCCAATTACTGGTAAAAATTTTATAGCGATCGGACAAGGAAAAAATCACTTTTAAGGCGATTGAAAAATATCGGTATCGCCTCTGAAAAACTGTATCGAAACACCTTAAGCTATCGAAATGTTTGAACTACACGAAAGAATGCCAGGGATGTGATCTGCTGAATATCAAGCGACAATCCCACTAAAATTTTTTTATAATTATACATAATTATGCAAATGTTTAGACAATCAACCAATCAAAATCACTATGCAGTTTTCGGGTAGTGAGTGACGTCACTGGACGGCATAAACGGCCGGTCGATTCAGACATTGTTGAGAGGAGAAAACAACTCGAGCAATCAGATGAATTTCAGGCTATGTTAAAAGACCTTAGATATAAATCCCATAATAATTATTTACACTGAAAATGCCGCATAATTTCCTGTTTTTTCCGCATCCTATCAGAAGCCCTTGTAAAAGGCACAAGTGTAACAACTGGACCCAAGCGTAATAAAGGTCCCATCTGTAAAAACATTTCAAACCCAGGCGTAATAAAGGTCCTGTCTGTAATAACACTTGGACCCAATTCCAACGTTTGGAAGGATAAGGTCACAATTCCAATGTTTGGGAATATAAGGTCAGAATTCCAATCTTTAGAACAATGCCAATGTTGCAATAAGGTCAAAATTCCAATGTTTGGAAGGATAAGGTCAGAATTTCGAGTGTTTGGAAGGATTATGTCAGAATTTAATAAGGTCTCCAATGTTTGCAAGGATAAGGTCAGAATTCCAGTGTTTGGAAGGATAACCAACTGCGTTCCAAACTCCCTCTGTGGTGTCACTGTGAACTTCAGTGTACGGGTCAACAAAGTTCTCAGACTGGTTCACCATGAGATGTGTGTAGCTAATGTCGTTCAGGTTAAAATACAGTGAAAATTTGTCAGAAAGGATCACTGTACCGTTCCTGGTTCCAGAAACACTTGTACCAGCCAGGTAACTAAGGTATCTCTCGTCAATCTGGGACAAAGAAAGTGAGAGCAAACCCTCTTCCTCTTTCCACCACAACAACCATACACCATTTAAAACTTGACCATGATTGTGCTTGCCCTGTGTTGATTATGTAACCGCTATTGATAGACACCTCACGCATGTCACGTGTAGATTATCAGTTATGTAATTTAAGTTAGGATTATCAGATATTGAATAAATGTGCTTGAATTGAAATCACTTCACTCCCTCACGTCTGCTATCATAACAAGGTGTCAAACTAGCAATCCCACATCCAAGGAAACCAAAAATCAACATGACTAAGCCCTTGGTTGAAAAAGGATCAGTGACAAATAGTGAATGCCAACTACCCGTAGGCATCTCTGTGCCTAAACCCTTAAGCAACGCCAGCAATCTGGCAACAAATTGCAAGAAATATAAGTGATCCTGCGAAAACTACGCCATTGTAGCAAAACACCATTTCAAGAATGATTTTCAAACGGTGGAATTCCTCTCAGCGATTGGTGATGACATGCGAGAGCTTAATGATGGAATGAATTTTGACTTCCTCAAAGATCGACAAAATTTTGAAACTGTCATTGCCAAGTTCGAAGAAATTTGCATCGGCGAGACAAATGAGACATATGAATCTTGTGTCTTTAACAATCAAGTACAAGACTTGCTGAAGAGTCCTAGCTGTAGCTGGAATGACCAAGTGTGACCCGTACTTTAAAAGGCTTGTTTATAGTGGAAAGTGCGCTTAGCTAGTTTACAGGCACTCCACTCAAATACTTAGAAACAAATAATTGAAACAGAACATAATAGGAATAAAAACCCCAACTGGAAGGAGGCAACCGGTTGGCTATTTACAAGCATGGCTAAGGATTGGAACTAGGGACAACAAAGAAAAAAACCAGTAAGTGGCCAGAGTGGGACCTGAAACCAGGACTGCCGAATTGCGAATCCAGTGTGCTGACCACTTGGTCACGCTCCCTCCCTTGTCCAGTAAGACTTCTGGGACACACCTCAGGAAGGAATTGATGTCCGTCCTGTACCGCCAACAATAAACAGACAAACAAGGAGCCCATTGCACGTGTCAGCAAACCTCTTAACACCTAAGATCATAACTGGTCTTCATGGAAAGATCAAACAACGGCAAGCCAGGTAACACACATATTCCAATCGAGGTGCAAAGAATTTGAGGCCTCTTCATGAAGGTGACCCAGTGCTGATCCAACCACAAATGGAGAGGCACATGTCAACAGGCAGGTGGGACTAAGGTCCTATGAAGTAGAATCTGATGGGAAATCCTGTATTGGCAACTGGAAACACCTAAAGAAAGCAGCCAATGATGCGAAATTGAGCCATGGAATAAAGAACTATGCTGCACCCTACATAGACCTACCAATCAACAAACCACATCAGGAAGAGCCCACACAACATAAGGAACCGAACGCTTCATCCAAAACCACTCCAATTACCAAGCAACAGTCCCTGACTGATTGTCAAACTCAGGAGCATGTACCAAAGACCCGCAGTGGCAGAATCTCACTACCACCAGCGAGATTCAAGGACTTTGTTACATTTCAACTTGACATGATGGACTTTGACTCTGATTTTGCACTGATTCTTTTTCCTAATTTTTTCGTGGTGGCCCGACATATTTTTTAGTATTCTCATTGTCACAAAAAAGGCCTAGATAGCTGCCACGATCTTATTCTCTGTGCCCTGGTGAGTTATGATTATGTTCAGGTAGAAATCTTCTGCATGCCTCAACTGCATCAAGGAATGGCCCACACTGTCAGGGAAGTTGTTTGATCGGGCTGCTACTAGCAGTCCATGCAGCATGGAATGGGAAAACCATAGGGCTTCCACATGTTTATCATACCCATCTGCATGCCATACTGAATTAGGTCCAGCATTAAGATACTCATATCTTTTCAATTTGCATTCTTTTCTCTGCCAACATCCATCATTGTCCATTTCACAAAGCCACTTGTCATGAGACTTGACTTTCTTCAACTCTAGACTATGCCACACACATACCTGTAACCAAAAATAGTGTTTAAAACTGTACATGACCTATGGCAATGAGTATTGTAACATGATGTCTATGTTTTAAATCTGACAACTGACAAGCAATTCTTAGAAGAAATCTACTAAGATCAAAGCTACATCAAAAAGATTCATGCACAACTTACTCTCCTGCAAGTGAAAGTACCCACCATCATGGCATTTCTAAATTATTTTCAAGGGCGAGTACCACATGTTTCACAGCCACATGGAAAGATGGAGAGATTACTGCACTTTTCATCTCCAGGCAAACACCAGCCTGGAAGAAGATCTTTTGTTTTGTTCTGAGGAAGGTTACAATTTCACATGCCCTGACAAGAACTGATTTGCCTCTTCAGTTCAGCCTTCCCTGCTGCACACTCCAAATTGTACAAATATTTCAAGGAAGTAGCAGAGACAGTTTTACAGATTCTCAGTCAGATTCAATGGCTGCATCTAAGAAATCTTACTGATGTGGAATGCGACTTTACTTCCACCGATAGGATCCCTGGATTTCCTGTTGCTCATTCCAAATTGTACAAGTATTTCAAGGAAGTAGCAGAGACAGTTTTACAGTTTCTTAGTCAGATTCAATGGCTAGATCCAAGAAATCTTACTGATGTAGAATGCGACATCACTTCTATCGATAGCATCCCTGGATTCCAAGCAGTTTCAAAGTAAGAGTTAAAAATCATTAGCCCTCTTGCTGTTAAAACAGCAAAGATAGAAACCTTGACCTAACTTTGTTTTGGACTCCAAGGCAAGCATTCTGGTCGAGCTGTACAAGTTGGCCTTAACTTACTACACTACAACTACAACTGTATATGTTTTCTTTTTGCATCAAATGTCAATGCAAACTGTTAGTGCCACCTTTGTCCAACGAAATCGTTTTTCTTTTTATGTTTATGTGTATCCCTATGGGGTTTGACTTTTTAACTCCACGTGTGTCCTGTTCATTTACAGACTTTTGATCCCCCCGGTGCAAGGAGGCATTTAAAAAGGCCAAGACTCACTCTCATCTTCAAATATATTGGTTCATTATGACCCAAGCCTTCCTGTTATTCTTGAGAGCGATGCAAGCCAGTATGGCATAGGAGCAGTCATATTTCACCGCTTCTTTAATGGTGCTGAGCGACCTATCACATATGCCTCCAGGTCCTTGAACTTGTCTGAGAAAAACTACAGTCAGATCGAGAAGGAAGGTCTTGCCATTATTTTTGGGGTCACCAAATTTTACATGCATCTCTTCGGACGCAAGTTTACTTTGCAAACTGATCACAAACCCATGTTGAAACTATTTGCTCCGGATTCTGAGACTCCAGTTTGGGCTGCTGCTAGACTGCAATGCTGGTCCCTTCCTCTCTCTTCGTACCACTACAAAACTGAGTTCAAGTCATCTGCTGAAGTAGCCAATGCTGACACCTTGTCAAGGCTCCCACTTCAGTACAGGAAAGATGCAAATGTGGAGGAGGAAATCTTCCACGTGGCCCCTCAGCAGTTAAAACGACACCCAGTTTCTGCCGCAGAAATCGCCAAGGACACATCTAGGAACCCTTTGTTAGCGAAAGCACACTTGCTTACGCAGAATGGTTGGCCTATTAATCGCTACGCCGATCCTTACCTCAAGCCATACTTCACATGCAGACACGAACTCTCTGTGGAGCAAGGCTGCCTTATGTGGGGCCTGCAAACTGTCATACCTCCTTCTTTAAAACAAACCATCCTGAGCGAATTACATGAAGGCCATCCTGGAATTGCATGCATGAAATCAATAGCCCGCAGTCATGTTTGGTGGCCGAAAATAGATCAGGAGCTTGAAAAGGTTACCCGTGAATGTCAACTGTGCAACAAAACCCGCCAGGCTCCTCCAGCCTCACCGCTTCTTCCATGGTCTTGGCCAACAGCTCCATGGCAACGTGTTCATGTAGATTTTGCCACCCATCATGCAAAACATTACCTCATCATGGTCGACGCCCACTCTAAGTGGCCTGAAGTGATCGGTCCCACAAAAACAACAACAGCCGACTCAACCATTAATACCATGCGTAATATTTTTGACAGATACGGTTTACCAACCTAAGTAGTCAGCGACAACGGCCCACCCTTCCAGTCTGCAGAGTATGAAGAGTTGCTGCGGCACAATGGAATTCAGAGAATTTTAGTTTCCCCTTACCATCCCTCTTCAAATGGGTTGGCTGAGCCGTTTGCGCAGACTATCAAGTATGCAATGGAGTCATCAGTTAACGATCCCGCAAGCTCTATACACCGGTGGATTCAGAATTTCCTCTTATCTTACAGAAGCACACCACACGCTACAACCAGCTCATCCCCTGCCAAGCTATTCTTACAGCGAGAACTTCGCACTCCATTGTCGATTCTAATAGTTTTGTTTCTTTTCTTGAACTTTTGATCATTAAGAGAGTTTCAACAGTTGTTTTGTACTTTAATTTCTTGTCAGGCACAACATTTCTGCGGGGAGGTGTTATAGTGTATCATTACATTTGTTATAGTGTCAGTCATTCAAACTGAGCCCACAGTATGTATGCGGTTACTGGAAAACCCATGTGCTCTTTGATTAATACAGTTCTTTAGTTGATCTGCCATCTTGCGTGCAGTTGTCTGTTTGCCCGAGAACATAACAAGTCTCCCAATACAGTTGCGGCAAGTGCAAACCTTTCAAAGTTTTCGGGCTGGCTGTAGACGTTTCTTTAAACTACGCCTTACTTTCAAAGCAAAGCACTCTTGAGAAGCAGGTTAACTTATTTCATTTTAGAATACGTATTCCGTTGTATAAAAATTGATAGATAAATATTGTAATTTTCTTTTTTGAGCTTTTTATATATGTAATCCTGATGAGCTTTAACCGTGTTGAAATAAATGTTTAACTTACCGGAACTTCCTTACTTACTATGAGAGACATATTTCTAATATATTCTTCTATTCTTTATAATAATAATAATAATTTAATAATTTACCAATTTATATAGCGCGTATTTACATGTGCTGATCAATAGCGCTTTACAATGATATGTTTAAAAGAAAACGAAAATACATTACCGTGAGAATAAAATAAACTGAGTTCCAAACTATAAAAATACTTCTTAAAAAGATAGGTTTTAAGTCGAGATTTAGAACTGTTAAGTGATGTTGCTTGACGAAGCTCCACAGGTAGCTCATTCCAGAGTTTCGGGGCTGCTGCTGAGAATGATCTTGTTCCCAATGTTGTAAGCATCTTTCCCTTGGGATGGTCCAATAAGAGCTTACCCGTAGACCTAAGATTATATAATGAATTCGATTTTATACTAATAAGATCGCTAAGATAAGTTGGCGCTAGGCCATAAATACATTTGAAAGTCAAGAATAAGTCTTGCTGCTGCATTTTGTACACGCTGTAATTTAGCGATCTGCACATTTGGTAAGCCAAACAATAAACCATTACGAAAGTCAAGACGGCTGGTTATAAAAGCATGAACCAAAGTAATTAAAGAATGTCTCGACAGGTATTTCTTAATACGTCTCAAGTTATGTAAATGATAAAATGCCGCATTACAAGCCTTGTTTATATGATCAGTCATGCTTAAGTTGCTGCCAAACCACGATCCAAGGTTTCTAACACATGGGCTTGGACTGATACGATTATTGCCCACAGTTATGGAACACGAATCTAATTTATCAAGCTGTTGTCGTGTGCCGACTAACAAAAACTCCGTTTTATCATCATTGATCATCAACCGATCTTGAATCATCCATTTCCTCACCGCGTCAATGCACTTTTCCATAGCTTGTATAGCATCAGCTTGAGCAGTGTTGCCGAGTGGTTTAAAACTCAGATACAGCTGCGTATCATCAGCGAAACAGTGAGCATTGGGAAGATAATGTTCCACGATCTTAAACAGCTTGGACGCATATATTATGAATAGCAAAGGCCCTAAACATGAGCCTTGGGGTACCCCGCAGATCAAGTCAAAAGGACGAGAAAGAACTCCATGTAAAGAAACGCGCTGACTTCTATCAGACAAGTACAATCTAAACCAAGTCCCAAGCAGTCCCACGTATGCCAACCTCGTCAGATAGCCTCTGTAAAAGTATTCGATGATCAACAGTGTCAAAGGCAGCACTGAGATCCAATAAAATTAACATAGTGACATGTTGAGAGTTCATATTTAACAAAATATCGTTCATCACCTTGATAAGTGCAGTTTCAGTGCTATGGAATTGCCTGTAAGAAGATTGAAGTGCAGGAAAAATAGCATTTGAAACCATGTGATCGTAAACTTGATTAAAAACGACTTTTCCAGTCAACTTGGATACGTATTGTAAGTTACTAACTGGTCTGTAATTTTTGTACAGCAAATCCAATCCAGGTTTCTTCAACACAGGATTAATAAGCCCACATTTCCAATCATCCGCAAATTCTCCAGAATTAAGACACAGGTTGATCGTTTTAGTAATGACTGGTAATAGGACATCGGCACAGCTGATTATTTACTAAAGGTGTTGACATCGCATCAAACATACAGCTTTTCTTCGGAGAGCAGCCAATCAACTTCTTAACAGCACTTTCAGTTAAAGGGATAAAGCTGTCCAGTGTTCTAGTTGGTAACGTTTTCACATAGTCAAATGAGAATCATGCAAAAAATCGGCTAGTCTGTCCAGTTTGACATGGATGGCGTCAATCTTTTCAACAAAGAAGCTACCCATTTCATTGGCTTAAACCAGCTTGTCACTAGTTGCTGGAAAAGGTACTTCATGACCTTGATTTAGCAATCTCTTTGTTGCCAAGAATAGGTTCCTTTGATTGGAGTCATTTTCAACAATAAAGTCTGAGTAAAACTTACGACGGGCTTCATTCATCAGGTAGGTTGTAAAGTTCCTCTTCTTTTTAAATTCAAGCAAATCATTGACACTTTGAGATTGACGCCATTTTCTTTCAGCTCTCCGTCTTTCTCTCCTCGACTCCCTAATATCTTCACTAAACCAAGGTACCAAAGGCCTCACTGTGATAAACTTAGTGACAAGTGGAGCATGACGATCAAGAGCCGCAGATAATGCAGAATTATAACATTTAACAAGATCATTCAGAGCATCAGGGCTGTCTGTACAAAGCGAAGTTGTAGAGAGTTCATCGCATAACAGGTTAACGTCAACCACCTTTGTCTTCCTGAAAGAGATTTTTTTCTTCGGGAGCGGTGGCCTGTCCAGGGTTAGATCACAAATCAAAGTAGAGTGATCAGAAAACAGACAGTCAGTCACAGGGATGTTAGCTAATAAGGAGTCGCATTGTCGAGTAATGATCAAATCCAGGGTGTGTCCTGACTCGTGTGTTGGCACGTTAACATGTTGTTGAAGGCCCATTGACTCAAGCAGCTCCTTTAAACAAACACT